TCTTGGAAGAACTACTGTCAAAGACAAGAGGCAGATCTGTACTGGCCCCACTGAGAGAGAGCAGATCTCAGAGCACTGACATAACAATCCAGTACATTAAGGAGAAGATAAGAAAGGAATCTTCAGCAGAGAGGACCATCAATCTGTTCCACTGTCTGAGTGAACTGAATGATAACTCTCTAGTGGAGGAAATCAACAATTCTCAGAGCTCAGGAACTCTTTCTGATCAAAAGCTGGACCCAAGCCAATGTTCAGCTCTGGCCTTTGTGTTACTGATGTCAGAGGAGGTCCTGGATAAATTTGATTTGGAGACCTACAGGACATCAGCAGAAGGTCGTGAGAGACTGGTACCAGTAATCAGGAACTGCAGGAAGGCCAGGTGAGTATTATGCATTAATGATGTAAAGCAGCGGTGGGCACCCTTATGAAAAATTGCCATCGACATAGATATACTATAGTAACTCTGTAGTTTACTATAGTGATGCTAAAGTAAATCACAAAAGTCAAATTCTACTTTAGTAAACTATAGCAATGATATTCAATTACTATAGTATATTTGCAACAAACTATAATTTACTGTAGTAAAGTGTAGTTTACTATAGTTTACATCAATTTTACTGTAATAAACTATATTTAACTATAGTAAATTTTTATAAGGGCAGTTCCAGTCGGTGTGTATTACAGGTCTTTATTTCCACCAATCACCGGTGGCTGATTGAGCTAACTGGTTGTGTATGCTTTTAGATTTACTCAGATTAGATCACAGACAAATATTTCATTTAGGGACAGAAGAAAAGTCTTTGGTGGTTATCATGAATATTTAAAGACATGCAGTAGCAATGTCAGATTTTACAAATGGTTTGGCTTTTTGAGATAATTAGCTAACTAAAGGGCAGGAGTTAGTTTGAACGCCTGGAACAGATACGGCCCTTGTTGCCCACCTCAGATGTCGAGGATTGCAGTACACTACATATTGATAAACACGTTCTAATTCTATTGAGAATTAAGTGCAATAAAAATGTCAAATGTGAATGTCAAATGCAAGGGAGAATGTAAAAAAATGAAGTTTTGCTCTGCTTTTTTTTTTTAAACCAAAAAGTAGGGTAAAACTTCATTCCTATTTGGGTTGCCAGGTTAGTTGATCCAGTGGAGAATGTATGGTTACAGCAGAGCCTCTGGTAACAGGTCACAGGATATGACTGGATGCTGAACGCATGATTGACATGGTGAAATATTTGCCATTTGCATGATTAAATAACATCCACATCTGAGTTTCATCTTTCTTATTCGCCACCTGCTGTGAACGCTAATGAAATCTACACTCTTACCTCAATATCTTTTACACACTGGCCTGTTCAGTAAGGAATGTTGAATTCTACCATGCCTCTGTGTTCGCTGCATGGGTTTGCTGTTTCTAAAGTGATAAAATCGGCCTTTGTTGGAAAAGCTGTAAATCAACTATCTGTCGGTCGACAGGGTGCGTGTGGAAATATTAGGGGAAGATGGTTAATCTAAATAAGGTGCAAACTGCTTATCGAAGCAGTGCTGCATAATTTAATTTCATCACTGTGTTTCCAACCACAAGCTATGGTCAGGATATTATTCTTTGATGCATGGGCATTTAATGTGGAATAGCCTGATTCAGAGAACAATATTCTCACTGTCTACTGCCATTTAAATCATCACAAAAGGTACAGGAGTCTTTACCAGAAAAGCACTGTAATTATTTTTTGTATTTATTTAACTTTGATAATTACACTGATTCTTAATCTTTTTTAAGTGGGCCCTAGCCGAGACGGCCATACAATTTGTGGGCTGAGAATTAACTGGACCCATCTCCACTTTTTACAAAATGGAGAAAATTGGATGTGAAAATTTGCTGAATCATAATTTCTCACTCCAAGCGTACTTCTCAGATATTTATATTCAGGGGAGTCATTGGGACTGAAAGGTAAAATATCATGCAGTTCTACCTTTGGTAGAATTATGATGTAAATGTAGATAGACCCTTTGAATTTTCAAAATGCCAAAAATTTTGCAGGTATATGGCTCTGTCTCCTAGATGACTCATTGCATTTCCAAAAATGTGTAGTCACAGAGGTCTATGTCCGGCCTTGTGGTTTTAAAAAAAGAACACAACAATGTAATTCCACCCAAATCTGCAAATTACATGTTCATGGTAAAAGGCAATACAGAATTTGAAAGAAAAACCGAGTATTTGACATTAATAATCACAGAAAATGGGCAGCCGCCTCCTGTTTGAGTTCAAAGCTTCTTATGGCTTAGAAGTTAAAACATCCACCAAAACATAAAGAATGAACTGGTTCTAAATCAAACATCTTTGAGTGCTATTGCAGAAAATGATGATGCAAACAAACAAACTCACCATTGAACAACTAGTCTCAACTTGTCTCCCTGAAAACCTTTACATTGACAACATTCAACAAACTAGACATAATTATGTCGTTGGCGCGCCATCGCAAATCTCCGCGCTCCGCAACGAATATTATGGGAGAAGTGGTAATGTGTCAGAGGGCAATTCACTGAACTGCCGTTCTGCTGTACAAATGATAATCTGCTTGTTGCAGTGACAAAGCACTGATACCACGGTGTTAGGTAGCGAGCCGTGCAGCCGTGATTTGCACGGCCAACGTCAGAAAAACACGGCCTGTTTTCTGGATGACGGCTCTCGAAATTATTTCCAGGCCGTGCACAACATGGCAAGAAATTACGTTGCTAAAACCGGTTCAACGAACGATTTTATTTCCGACTGATATCGCAACGCCTGGTTTATTGATTTATTTTTGCAGCTAGCATGCCTCTGCTGCTAAATCGCCAGCCAAGTACTGATTGCTCCAGCACTGAACACTTCGCCAAACTGGCTGATTTGCATACTCGGATAGCAATCGGATATATATATATATATATATATATATATATATATATATATATTTTTTTTTTTTTTTTTTTTAAGTGGAAATCGGCGCAGCAGCACGCATGCACTTTAGCCTGGAAATAGAGCGGGCGCGCGCCAACCGATCTTCGTGACCAGGGAAATTGTCAAAATATTTACAAGTGATTATCTCTCAGAATGGAGAAGTGAAAGTGCGAGGATTCTCAGGCCGATCTTAGCGACAGGAAAAAAAAAAAATCACGAAAAGATTCTTCAGTTTTTCTCTGAGACTAAGGTGAGTATTTTTCCATTATTTTCACAAAATGCGGGCTTTAATTGTAACGGAGGTCGCGAAGAGCCAGTCTGTGATAGGTCATCAACAAACCACGGCACACGCGTTTTTGTCTGTATAGGGATGGCTACGAGTTCTATGTTTTTCCAGATCGACTGATAACCTGAAATACTCTTGGGTGGATCGAATCCTCGCAGAGTGAAGACTACTTTGAAAACGCATCTTCAAGACAAAACTCAGTGTTTAGTAATATATCCGATGCTTGGCATAATGCTTATTTTCAATCTAAACAGGCACAATTGCCATTTGATATAAAAAATGTATTCACCACTGACAAAACGTCGTCACAGTAAAAGCATTAGCCTATATCAGGGCTGTTCAACCTTGTCCAGAATGGGCCACTGTGGGTGCAGGCTTTAATTCCAGCCAAGCAGCTACACACCTGATTCTATTAATCAAGCTCATTAGCAAAGACTCTTGGGGTTGATAAGTAGAATCAGGTGTGTAGCTGCTTGGCTGGAATGAAAGCCTGCACCCACAGTGGCCCATTCTGGGCAAGGTTGAATAGCCCTGGCCTATATGATAGACCTATTAATATAGGTAACGCAAAGGCGTGAACCGTAGAACATAGCTTGTGAAATTCTCCTTTCAGATGGGATCACAGCGGCCTCTTGTGCTTCTGAACGTTGTCATACTACTGCGAATCAGCATTTTCACTTTTTACGGCGTTGGATTCAATTACCGTGGTACTACTGAAATAGACTCGCAGTCTAGAGAATGAAACTTAGTTTCGTGTTTATTAGCCTACTAGTAATTTGAACGTGACCAAAATAAAAAAGAAATAAAATTATTCCTGCAAGACATTTCCCCTGCGAACCGTGACCATGGTTGACCTTGGTTGACCTCGGTTCACCATGGTCAACCATGGTTAAAGCATGGTTAAAAATGGCCGACCATGGTTGAAGCATGGTTGCACCCGCTTGGGGAGTTTTTAACCCTGCTTTAACCATGGTTGACCATGGTGAACCGAGGTCAACCAAGGCCAACCATGGTGTTCCGTTTAACAAAAATGTCAAAACCATGGTTTGACCAGGGTTGACCACGGTTACTTGAACCAGGGTCATGGTTCGCAGGGGTTGTGCAGAAAATGCCGAAATTAAAACTGTCAATTCAGACGCTTTAAGTGACCCAATTATCGTGATAGTGGAGAAAGAATAGGCAGTGAATGGGTCGTGTGCAAATTATGATTTCATCGATCTATGCATCTTCGGGTACATTTCGGCCATAAAGCCGTAGGCCTATTTATATTTATTTACCGATCTCGGTCTTTCCTTCCCTGAAATCTGACATTCATTTTTATCATGTGAACAAAACAAAAGAAATGGGGAAAAAAAAAACCGCGACTGGCGACAAAAATATAATAAACGGAAGAATTAATTAATTTTAATAAATAGCACGATAAGTGTAGTGCAAAATCATTAAACTTTGATTGGCATAATTTACAATGTTCCTGATTGGCTTCATTTTTTACTAAGTACCTCAGGAACTTATCAGTGCATAGCATTTGTAGCCATAGTGAAATATTTATGTCTGATCTTCAAGCTACTTCAGGTGGGCTCTGGGGCTCGCATGTAAAACTGGCGCTTGGCCACAGAGCCAATCAAAAGAGATTTTCATCGCAACTCAATCTAGGTCACTTGCACCAAATCACATCAAGAGTAAGCTGAGGTACCAACTTTCTGTGGAAAGGCTTGATCAGTTGATCAGACTATCGTATGACAAAGTACCTATAGAGTATTTTCCTTTCCAGTGGGAGACGCGATAGCACAGTGGTTAACTAGGCTTGACCTGAGATTGTAAAGTCCTGAGTTCAAGTCCCGGTCGCGGCCTTCGCGGCAAAACAATTCACTCCCACACTCCATGCCTCACTCCACCCAGGTGTATAAATGGGTACCAGCAAATAGTCAGGGAAACTTGAAGAGCCAGGGGAGTATCTGCGATAAACTGGCATCCCATCCAGGGGGAGTAGTAATACTCCTAGTCGCGAAATGCAATGGACACTGGGGTGAAGTACTGGCCTCATGGGCCACTAGCCTCGTAACAGGCTTACTCTCTTACTCCTTTCCAGGAGATTTACATGGAAAATCATCACAGTTGGTATTGAGTTACGTACTTACAATGGTCTTGACTGGTTAGCACAACCAAGTCACCTACCCAATTGTAGTACATTACAGGTGTATAAGATGTTTTTGTTTCAATAGGATACACAGAATAGTACAAAATAGTTAGATTCATGACTTGCCGTTTTCCTATTTGGAAAACGGATCAAATCATAATGAAATACATACCTACCTAGTCTCTCCAATGAGGAGATTTAATGCTTGGTTTCTGCATGTCATATTTTGCTTTCTGTCTCGGCTATACAATAAAATTGTGTTGCTTACTACTACCTACGTTTATGATGTGTAGAATTTATGTTCTTTTTTGGCAAGTCGCACATAAAATGACAATTTTTTTTGCCTGGCTGCATATTGCACACGCTGTAATTGTGTTTGCACACCCTGTTACTCATTTTCTGCCTAATACTCTGACCGATACTGATCAGTTATAGCAATGTGATATAGTTGGTTAGTTGGATAGAGTACTTTTTGACTGTCTGTTGAGGGCATAAATTACTCATCATTTTGAAATGAGAGTATGATAAAAAGAAAGGAGGTATGGTACAGCTCAATGTACATGAAAATGTGATATTTGTAGAGTGCACAGATAGGTTTGTACCTTCCTACATGTGCAAATGTCAATATTAGGGAGGTTTGGCATCGTCACGTTTTTGCTTACGTTTTCAAGACGTCCTTTAGACGGCAATATTGTAATGTCTAGTTTATTCAAATCGGACTGTCATGACATTCTTTTTTGAAGCGTGATTTCCTCTTTGGCAATCTGTAAAACCTTTTCGAGACTTTTAACAGCACGTTATGAAAACGTAAACATAAACGTGACGTTGCAAAACCTCCCTATTCCATTATATTGGTACTTACTTCCATCAGTTCTTATGTATGAGATGGGAAGATGCAGTCGTAGTGAATTCCTAACGTGTGATGGTATTCCCACACAAGGACAGTTGTACCTCCATCAGATGGTTTGTCCATTGGATGAATCTGTAGTCTGTTGATTTTGATCCATTTCCAAGTGTTGGTTCCGAATGGAAAGTACTCTGAATTGCCACACTGTGGTTTGGAAGAAGGTAGCAACAGCAAGTATTTTGACTTCAGTTGCCCACTGTCTTTGTTTTTGTAACTTTGTAATATGACCTCTTCCTATCCAATTGATGAATGTTTGATAATGATTCTTTTCAAACATCCATGTAAGGTGCCTGATTTTTTGGTGGTATTTTTGTGTCCCAAGTAGTTGCTTGGAGATAGCTCCGAAGAAGCAGTTTCCATCAGGTTCGGTAGCATCAATGATGCAAGGACGTGTTTTTTCACAGAGTTTCTTTTGAATCCTGCGTATTGTATGTCAAAAAGTTCCTGGTTCACTCTTGGTTCATTCTTCACAGTCACTCCAAGGCTGGCGGCAACTGTTTCAGTATCTTGTTGAGACGGCATATTGAAGGGCTGGATGTGCGTGTCATGTTCAGTAGCACTTGTCACAGTAACAGGGAGATCATCTTCAAGTCCTTCTGAAATAGTAGAGGTCTTACTTTTCCTGGTTAATGTGAACTTATGCTGGGAGGGTTTTTCTCGGCGGGTTTGTACTGGTTGAGTGACCGGTGTGTTGTGGACTCTTTCCAAATCTGTTTCATCTCTAGGAGTAGGAAGAATGCAGAAGGTGGCATTGTGCCGAGTGTAATATTGAGGAATTACTCCTGACTGCAAATGAGGTGTTGTCATGTTGGTAAAGATGAGGTCAATGGCTGACCCAGTCGTAATAGTTGGATTTAGTAAAAGTTGGATTTAGCCATAGTTATTGAACATGCCGTTCAAAAGGTTTGGTTTGTTTCTAGTTGGTTGTGTGTTGAAGTCTCCGAGGACAACTGTCATGGCTTGTTGGGGTATCTTGCCGAGGAACTTTGAGAGGGCAGAGCATACCTGGTTCATCTGAACATAATCAGGTCTGTATACGACAGTGATGTACAGTTCAATATCCTGTTTTTGGAGGAAGCAGTAGATATGTTCTGTGTCTTGGGTAATAAATTCTGTGAGCACCGTACATTTGATGTCATTTTTTACATAGAGCGTTACACCCCCTTTATCATTACATTTCGGACAATTGTCTTTACATTCATGAATTCTGTAACATTGTTTTCTGTCCATACAATAAGGAGTGAATCCAGGTAAGTGAAGTTGAGCAGCATCTTTTGCAATGTTAGGATTCAGCCAGGTTTCTGAGATTCCTATGAAATCAGCAGAAAGAAGTTCTTTGCAGACGTGAAGGTCATCTTTGTGGCGTAGCAGAGAAGTGAATTGACATGGCAAATTTTCATCCATTTGTTTGTGGAGCATACCATGAGAGGAATCTGTTTTATCATGAGTGGGTTCTTTATTGGATTCCTTTTGTCAAGACATTCCATTTCCTGCTTTACAACTCTGCTGGTTATCACTTTACTTTTGGAAAAGTTTTGTAGGAATAATCCCGACAGTGTTTTTGCTCTGCTGTGGGCAACATATACTTGTCCGCTTTTGAAGTTTCCTTCAAAGGATACTACGATGGTGTCCAATGAGAGACCTTGTACTTTATGTATAGTACTGACAAAGGCAAGTTTGACCGTTTTACTTCAATTGTACCTTTCTTGAGTGGGAATTGTTTCCATTTTACTTCAACTGTACCTTTCTTATGTAGGAGGAAACAAATTTCCTCAGGAACAATGGAGACTGCCCCTTGAACATGAGATGGATGCTCCTTTCGATGTTTTTGACCAACCGAATGTGAATCAAATTTCACCAAGACTGCAGCGTTTGGATGTGAAAGTGATGGTTCATCACCAATGAAACTAACTACCTCCCCAAGTGCTCCATTTATCAATCCATCTCCGACATCAATGTTCTGGGTGAGCATAACACGAGCTCCTATCACAAAAGTTAGTTGGGATGGCAGACGGGTATTATATGTTGACTTGTTTGGAAGTGTTACGTTTGCTCGACCAGTATTCATGTCTTTGTGAGGATCAATGGCATGAAATGTTCTCTTCATAGTTGAAAGTTGGTCCAGTTTGTTGGTGTTGTGCTCATCAATCAATTGATTGGTAGCGAATACGTGAAGAGCATCATGTGGATAATCAGCATTGGATGGTGATCTAATCCTTGAGTGGTAAGGGTGGTGACATCGGCATCATTTACTTCTCCAGTACACACTCAATTCAGTAGTGCTGTGAACTGGGAGTCATCTCTCTGTCTCATAATTTGAGTAAGTTCATACTTGTAGAAGTAATCCTTCAATAGGTGATTTGGGTTGAGGCATTGGTAAGGATCAGATGGAGGGAGGAAGATGAGCTGCTGCTTTACTGGTCTAAGCTGGTAGAAGTCACCCACAGCCAGGATACTGTTCCCACCAAAGATGACATCATCATCGGGAGTTCCTTGAAAGGCTATGTCATGTAGTCTTCTGTGGATCCAAGTTAGCAGTGGCAGGCCCACCATTGAAATGTCATCAATAATCACTAGCTTGACATTTGCCATTTTCACTTTCATTTCATTAAGTTTATCTTGGCTCAGACTACAGTAATTGGCTAGTAGTGGAATTGGGATACTGAAGGCACTGCGAATGGTGACACCATCGATGTTTGTTGCAGCAACACCAGTTGGAGCTGTGAGTGGCAGTACTGGTTTATCTGGAGGACAGCTGGGTGATCTCAACTCTTTATCAACCATGTGAACTATGGCTTTAATGAGATGACTTTTGCCTGTACCGGGACCACCTGTCAAAAAAGTGTAGAAAGGTTTTGGTGGCTGAGAATTTCCTTGATGGCTTCGGCACCAGTTTAGTACAGCTTGGAATAAATGGTTCTGCTCAGTGTTCAACGATCTGACTGTATTGTAGTATTCCTCATATGACATCTTTTTGAGTTCAATGTCAACATTATAGTTCAATTGATTTCCTTTGGGCTGATCACTTTCTGATAACTCTGGCAATGAAACATCTTTCATGTCATCAAGGGACTTGGATGACTGGTCATCAGGCTGTGGATTGTCGTTATGAGAGGATGGATTGACCTTGACAGCACCAACTTGGTCCCACAGATGATCTGGGAGGGAATGTGGTTCATTCATTGCAGTGTCTATTTCATCAGCTTTGTTTTCAAACCTCTGTTGGTTTTTCACAACGGTATCTTTGACTTGACTGTAGAACTGTTCATAAGTAGAATTTTCTGGGAGGACATCATTGTCTTCATTTCTCCATGGGAAAAACAGCATCAACATACTATGGTAATGGCGATCAGGTGACTTGAGTTGGGAGAATCTTGGATAACGTAGAATGGCTGTGCAGGACCTTTTAACAACAACACTAAGATTATTCTTCAGAGGAATCCTGTTTTTCTTTAAGTCTGAAATTTTATCATTGATGATATCAGCAGCAGGGTCATCATATGTGTCACTATCTACAACACTGTCAGGAGAGCCTAGGGTTCTGTAGTTAGTCGCAAACTCGGCAAGACAAATGTCCTCTAGCACATCTGGTCTAGCAGCGTGACAATCAACTATGTTCTTTTCAAAGACATCTGTGGAATCCTCTGATAAAGCTTGTAACTTTGATTTTGGCTTCAATATTCGAGTCCTTTCTGAGGGAAGTCCAGTATTGATAAACACTACAGCTCGGCTGCACCATTTCAAGGGTAGTGCATTTATCCTGAATGCTGCTTCTTGTGCACTAAATTCCCTGTGTGTGAGAAACA